ACTTGGTAGCCCAGGCTGGCCTCGAACTCACAGAGATCCGCCTGCCTCTGCCTCCCGAGTGCTGGGATTAAAGGCGTGCGCCACCACCGCCCGGCTAATGTTTTCTTTTTTTAACAAACTTGATGAGTTGTTATTTAAACTGTTGTCTTAGATTGGAGGTGGTTCCCAACCAACCATTGTCTCTTCCTACCGCAAGGAGACCTCAGCACTATCTAGAAACATTTTTTGTTGTTCCAATTTGGGGACTACTGCCAGCATCTGGTAGGTAGAGGCTAACATACTGCTAAACATGCTGTAACGTACAGCCTAATAAACACACACACACACACACACACACACACACACACACACACACACACACACACACACACACACAAATTACCATGCCCAGAATAGTTAGCTTTGCCAGAGTAGAAAACCCATGATTTGGGTTTATGTTTATTTTATGTGTGTGGGGGGGTGTTTTGTTTGTATGTATGCCAGTGCACCACATGCGTGTAGTACCCGTGGAGGCCAGCAGAGGGTGTCAAATCTCCTAGAACTGGAGGGACGGATGTGAGCTGCCTTGTGGGTGCTGGGTATCAATCCTGGATCCTCTGGAAGCGTAGCCAGTACTCTTAGCTGCTGAGTCATCTCCCCACCTTCTCCACTCCTTTTCTGTCTCTACCCCTACACATACTTACCTCCAACTAGTCTATATTCCTGTAGTCCTTACTTAGAAAATCCTAACCATTTGTTTAAGGCTAAATTTAGTTGCCACTGTTTAATGAAGATTTGTTATATGACAAATGAAAATTGAACTATTTTCATAATATCTATGAACTCTTATTTTACAACATACACACATACACACACATATAAAATCACTTCAAGTATATATAGCACTTATAATTTTGCTAGCATAAATATACAAATTTCATGAAAGCTGTGTTGTTTGTGTATTGTGTACACAATAATTAGCAAAATGCTTGTGTTTTCAAGTCTTACACTAAATATTTGTGTAAATTAACAAAGTGTTTTAAAAATGGTAACACAAGGGCTGGTGTAATGAATCAGCTAGCAGATGTGCTTGGTACTCAGGCCTGGTGACCTGAGTTTGATCGTTGGAACTCACATAAAGGTAGAAAGGTAGAGCCAACTCCACAGAGCTGTCCTCTGACCTCCATGCAAGTGCCAAGGCATATGTGCACTCACACAAACACACAATAAAAAATATGATAGCACAATAAAAACTGGAGCAGGAATCCTAATTAGTCTTAATAATAAAAACCTAGAGCCAGATAATTGGTGTAAATATTGAAAAATCAGAGAGACAAAGGAGCAAGCCACAGCTACCTCTTACCTTGCCAACTCCTCAGCTGAAAGTGGTTCAGCTCCTGTCTACTCCTGCCTTATATTGCTCTCTCCACCCAGCCTTATCAAATCCTGTCTCCACCTCCCTAGTGCTGGGATAAAAGGCATGTGTCTCCCAAGTATTGGAATCAAAGATGTGTGCCACCAATGCCTGGCTTCTATGGTTAACTAGTGGCTGGCTCCACATTCTGATCTCCAGGCAAGCTTTATTTGTTAGAGCACAAATAAAATATCACCACCACAAAAAAACTGCAGATAGCACAAAATTACATAAAGGTTATGAGCCAATAGCCATTAGACCCAGAATGGGTTTTCAACCATAATTGGCTACAGCCACTGGATGTCCTGAACTTAAAGTTTTAGATCTTATAATAATGTAGTATCTCATGTCTCTAAACCTAGCACTTGGAAGTTAGAGGCAGAAGGATCAGGAGTTCATGGTCTTTCTTCAAAAAAATAGCATGTTAGAGACCAGCTGACGCTTTTTCAAAAAGCCAGACAGAGGGAGAGACTAATGCATGAAGTTTTAATTTTACACACACACTAAAAACAGCAACAGATTTAGCTTGATTTAGCAAATGTTTGTAATCCCAATTTTCAAAAGGCTGACACAGTATTGTGAGACTTTTTTTTTTTTTTTTTTTCCAAGACAGGGTTTCTCTATCCCTGGATGTACTGGAACTTGCTCTGTAGACCAGACTGCTCTTAAACTCACAGAGATCTCCTGCTTCTGTCTCCTGAGTGCTGGGATTAAAGGTGTGCATCACCATGCCCACCCAGCCATAATTGTGAGAATTTAAGAGTAGCCTAAGATAAATATAGCAAGATCAGGATCCCATGTGCTCCCTGCTCCCAAATTTCCAATTTTACAATCCATGTTTTTGTCTTATTAAAACTTCTGCTGTTTTATTGGATCATGTTCTGTTCCCACCAGCAACTTTTTATATCATTAAATATAAGAAAAAACAGATTTATTTTAATGTAAAAATTTAAAGTCAGTGCAGTTTTCCACATATTTTCTGTGTTTGAAGATTTAAACTTAAGACACAAAGAATTGGGATATTGATAGAGATTAAACCCATGTACCTTACATTTACACAAATAGGCTCTTCAGAAACATTTAAGGTTGTCAATATTATTTTTAGGTGCAAAATTTCCAATCAAGTGGACAGCTCCTGAGGCTGCACTGTATGGTCGGTTTACAATAAAGTCTGATGTGTGGTCATTTGGAATTCTACAGACAGAGCTGGTGACCAAGGGGAGAGTGCCATATCCAGGTAAGCTTGTGTTTCTCTAGCTCTTTAGTTATCTCAACATAGGCTTTAATGAGGGGTACACGCAGCAAGAATGTTCTCCTTTCCTACCCCTTTATTTTGGCACTGGGTATGTAGCAATCCATGAGAGCTCGAATCCTTGAGCAAGCACAGGAGGTATGTCCTACATTCACTTCGGCTTCTCTAAGATGTTTTCCAAAAAAGCCCTTTATATGTTCTGTACTCTCATATCAGAAGCATATCTTAAATATCCTAGGTTATATCTGTCCCCCCAAGTATTCTTTTCTAGAATTGTGATATTCTAGACTCAAAAGATTGTTTTGAGAAGCATTGTTTCCTCTTGTAATAAGAGGAAAAATAAACTATTTTACTGTAAAAATTAAGACATTAATGTAGGTTTTTGGTAGCAAGAAGAATTTTTAGGCTAGTTGAAATTCAGCTATAATTGATATTCCTTCAGCATGTTAGCTCTCAAACAGGTCCACTGAGGTCTCCTGACAGTTGAAGGGTGTGAAAGCATAGAAAATCCAGTCTTTGGGAAGAATTGCTATAGTGATCTCTTACATGCCATTCCTTAATCCTTGCAGCTGTAGAGGAAGTGTTGTCACGTTCTATGGCCACATCCTTTCATTATGTACTGATGCTTAGCCACCCAAATTCTCCTCACTTAATGGCCATTCCTCATCACCCTGTCAGATAATACTCCCTTCCTATCTTAATTCGTGGTCATCTCTCTTTTTTTTTATTTACTGAGTTTTTTCATTTCATATAAATATATGTTGTATGTGTGTGTGTGTGTGTGTGTGTGTGTGTGTGTGTGTGTGTG